TTGAAATATGCTGATTGAGAATACTACTAACCTATCGAATGACCAGTAATACATGTTGTTCAATAGTCTCCAAGTTCAAATCAGCTAACTTTGTTTTAACTTATCAGCATTATCAACAACAATATGCATCACAATCATAACAACAATTATCTCCATCAATTACTTAGTTGGCATTGAATAATATCTACAGATGTTTTAAGCTGACTGACTGACTGTAGCTGACCTCCATCATTATAATCTTTAATCTAATGCGATAATCTTTACACGTCTTCATGTGTGACTAGCATAACCCTAATAGAGAAAAGGATAATCTGTGCAGGAGACCATATTTTGTTGCAAACATTGTGCACTAAACCGATATGCACTTTTAGTTATTCAGATCTCCACGTAATACGAAAAGCGACACTTGAATAATATTGAATACAATGAATGTGATTAGCAGTGGAATCCATTATACACGTTTTGAAATCAGTCACATGATATTACTTTAATCCATGCTGATATTCACACCGACATCCAAGGAGAAAATACTTTACTTCAAATATCTTACGACCTATCCACTGAAGCATTGAGTTGAAGCAAAGACTAATACAAGAGCTCACTTTGAATCCCGAATGTTCTCAATTCAATTGTTATCAGGCACTACTGTGGATTCTAGTAATGGAAATCAGTATTGTGTTTCGTACCAAATTTCAGAGTTTTGTTCAAGATGTGCAAAATAACAAATATTTATAGCAACATCTGAATTGTTTCCGAAAGCTTTGGTATAACAGGCAATCATATGGGCATCTCCAGATGACACAGAGAAACTGGAATTCAACTGGTCAAATGTATGATGGATCAAAATTGAGTTTTAGGTTATATACATTGGCTTTCAATCACTCCAGTCAAAAAGGAGAGTCAATTTGGAAGTTCCATTAGAAAGTAAATGCCCCATTACATGCAATCTGAAACCCCTGACTGAAGATAAGCGTTAAGGTTTCCGATCAAAACTAGATGATATCGCTAACTAATTACACTCCACATCATCATTCAAATCAAATAATAATCATATCGAACAAATGATCAAGTATTGTACGGATTGATGATAATGGTGGGAAATTCAGGCGCCTTCAAGCTGACAATCTAATCAGGAACACATCAATTAGTTAAACAACGTAGATAATTTAATCCAAGGATGTTACTACAAACAATGAGGATACATCGCATGATTCACGCTCAACCGTTCATGTATGAACAGGCTTATTCACACAAATCTGATGCTAAATTAAGACAAATTATATCAAACAATAATTCCGTCTTACCTAAGTATTGTTTGGTTGAATCTTCCCATTGATGTTTGGTACTGCAACTGGTCAGTCTCTATTCGGCATATGTGCATACTGCCTCGATTTAGCCTTAATTCACAAGCATTGTAAGAAGAAATGGATAGTGGCTAGCAGTGGAATCCAGAACGTGCGTTTCGTCGTATTTGGGACTCGTCAGTTGGATTTCCATACCTCGTTTGAAAAGTTGGATGCAAAGACGTGGTTATAGTAATAGATGATATTGATCCACATACAGTTAAACCACACCAAACCTAAAGAGACTTTTGTGGATATTATTGTATTGCGTTGAGCAAACAATTCTACTCGACGTTTGTGCTGATGATGTCATTCAGAAGATCGATGAAAGCTCCACGATCATACCATACGGCAAAGAGACAAAAACTCCATCAAAATCATCCATCTGAGCTACAAATCTCCATCATTATCTCAAAAACAGAAAATGATGATCGTCTACTGAAACTATACACATATGATCGTCCATTTCTAACAAGCCACAACTTTAAGCACAAGATAAAGCACTGTTTTTATTGACAACTCACACAATCGACCCGTCGATGCACTCAACTAGATCATGTTGTCATTAGCCACCATTGGAGAGCCCCGATTGAAGACAGTTGCTGACTCTAGAGTATATGTTTAAACTCGGATCATTCACCAGTCGGTGCACGCGTTTGTCTGCATCTTACTAGAAATAGGAAGGCTAAGACAGGGTAACCCTGTAGTATCGACCTAATGACCAAATATCTTTGAACACGTCAGGGATATCCGCTTAAGGAGGTTGATCTATCAAGAGATTCACTTGCCAACCTAGAATACTCAGACCTAGAATACTCAGTTCTATTTGGTCGAGACGCTAACAAAGTGCTGGGTCTTCCGACCATCCTTAACAACGAAACAAGCATCATTGAGATCCCATTCCAGCCCTCCAAATCCAAATTGTTTCTCCAGATTTGACTTGCGTCGTCGACCGAATTGAAGATAGTGAAAAAAGTAGTACAACCTATCAACCACTACACTTATCCTGAGAGTCTTGTCAGTCCTGCTGGTCTTGTGTCTTATGAAGTTTGAGCAACGATTCAGGAAACCCACCTGGTTTTCGCTAACTTGCGCCACTTGCTATATGGTCAAGATATCTGTCTGCCAGTCAGATACCAAATTAGCCGAGTAACAGTTCTCGGTATTCTCCTAAAGCAAATCTCTTATAATGGATTTCGATTATTGATCATTATTAGTTATTCAAACAGTAACAATTAGTGAATTTCGTTTTATTATTATGACCACTTTCATATTTTTATGAACTTGTACTCTAGGTCAACTGACAACCTACGAACACATCTCTTTCTACCTCAAATGTGATTTGCCTGAATATCATTCACATCCACATACATGAGTGAGCTCGAATACTTTTGTTAGCCTGTGTATTGCCTAACTGCGCCTTATTTGACTTGACCATAGATTTGCTTACATACACACATTCGTTCTCTGCTTCAAAGTCAATCGATTTTTTGCCCCCAAATGCCCTGGTACGGTCGAGAGTGGGGAGAGTCCGCTCTCCCTCTCCAAATGCTCTCACATGGCCAGCGAATATATAGCATCTGCCAGGGAAGTCCTGCTCACTGCCTTCTCGTGGCATTACTGTTGTTTACGAAAGTGAGAGGACGAAAAGCGAATGTCCGGCGCTTTAACCGGGTTGGTGGACACGGAAGGTCAACCTAGAGGAGTTGGAAAACCCTCATTCCAAACCAATGGTGCACATGGGCTCCAGTATCCTGAGGGAACAAATGGCGTACGAATCAATCGTTGATCACCGGCTACCATGGGACTGCATCTTCTCACGATGCTCCACTGCCTTGTGGATCAGATCTTTCGGTCAAAGGCTCCTGGTGTGGGCCCCTAAGAAAACCACCTGCTTCAGTTTGGGCACCTGGGCAGTATCACAGCCCTCAAGCAAATTGAATGGGATTTGTATGGCGCATATGTATCTGGTGCTTCCTTGTACCAATATTTGTTTAAATAAAAAATAAAATTATAGCTTTGTTATCCATGCTCTCCGCTATTAAATTATAGTCGCCGCTTCCTATTTCATTCTGATTTCAAACGTTTTTGGTTAACGAAGCAAGGCCATTACACTTCCCTATGGGTATGAAACATGGACATTAAAAGTAATGGATACTTGTATGCTATTAATTTTCCAGGTATTGTTCGTGTATTTTTGGACAACGGAGTGAGCAGTGCCGGTGTTAGGATCGGGATACCATCTCTGAATAGCGAACCGACTGATGAGGCAGATATGTTTATCAACTAAGATGAATATACAGTGTGTAGAATGTGCAGCTATTGCCCATTTTGTCTGATGATTTCGTCAGATGAACGACAGTCTGTAAGAAAATCAAAAGCGGCCAAACCAAAACATATCATCAGTCCATGAAGTCGTAGACAATGGGAATGAACAATGTTAGTAGGTGTAGACTACCCGGTTCGGTTACATATGTTCATCATCACCGATTGTAAGAGACGTTTAATGATGTGCCCAAATGTAATTTGAGATTTTACAGGTGCTTCGATTCACCATCATCTAAGTTCTCAGCTTCGAAGTAGAAGTGTATTGAGATAGCTGGATAAGTGCTAGTGATGGTGTGAGTGACGAGATTTTTGGCGCCTTCGTGATGTTAATCTGGCTGTCAAAATGTCGGATCTACAACGTGTCGATGAAAGCAGTCATGCTCTATGTTTGGGAAACCTGGGCTCTCCAAGCTGAGAACGTTAGACCACACTCTGTGTTTGATCATCGTTGTCTCAGAAGGATTGTTGACATCCAGTGGTAACACCATGTTAGTAGTGCAGAGGTTAGGCATCGTGTGTTCGGGCACAGCGACGATAATTCAATTAGTGTCACTATCTTGAAACATCGAATTAGGTGGCTTGAACCTGTTCTACGGATGTCGTCCAAAAGAATTCCACGTCGTGCATTATTTGCCGAAACTGAGACTAGTTGGAAAAAGCGGACAGGTGGTTAACGTTTGACATGATGTCGTGGTACGAAAAAAAGCTGCACACGACTGGCTTCTGTCAGTCATTCACGACTCCCCGGTTGGGGTCCTAGAAATGATGCAACAAAGTCGCTAGTGACGTTATCAGATATGGCTCACAATAGAAGTCAATGGCGATCCTACTGTAACTTTCACTTTCCTCATAGAAAAGGCCGTAACTTCCTTGACTGTAAGGCTCCCTTTTGGTTTTACCTTTCTGTTTCTCTCATTACTACCATACACTAGTTTGTTGTCGTTATTGTACTTTGTACGATACCACTCAGGAAGAGTTCATTGATTTGATCACAATCATAATTTTTTATTGCAATGAAACATATGATCACAAATAGAGCGATTATTACCCACAAAGCAAATCAAGTTGACACTTTGAACAGTGACACCTAGATCTCGGAACGTGAACATTCGACGCCAACTCCAACCACAAGAATCCTTAATAAAACAATTAAGTTACCATCTAGAGACCACTATCATCTCTTATCTACGTATTACGTCTGAAGTAAACAACACAATAACTGAATAATAAAATTATATTTGGTGAAAAGCATTTGAAATTAACTGGAAAGATAGATGATGTACATAGCTGAATCAATGTTCCACTTAATTACAATCAAATTCTTCTTGGTCAATAACGGACTAAAAGATTAAACTCAAGCAAACCAGGAAAATACCAATAATTTCCTGTAACACATCGACTGAATATCATTATATAATCATTTTTCTTGTCATCACTATCACCAGTCATTCGATCTAGCATGAAATCGAAATTCTTTGTGTCTGCAGCGTATGCTATGAATAATAGACCAGCATCTCCAGACAGAGTTCCATATGGTTGAGATTGTCGAACAATTTCATATTTCTTTTTAGCTTCAAATTTCTCAGCTGCCAGCATGAGATGAAAACAACAGTTATTGACAATTATAATAAAACGTCTAGACAAATCTTACTCTATTCAACACATGAGATGTGAATGCCATATATATCTTCAATATAAGAATAAAAATTCAACTTGATGGAACCGAGGTTTCTTACAAATAAGCTCAATGAGAAAATCATCCATAAACCAGTGAAAATCATCAACATTCAAGTGTGGAAGTGAATGCTGACTAATCTAACATTGGGTAAGATCAGTAGAATTTCAGTATTAATTCATAAAGATTGATCAAAAGCAAGCGAATTTCTACATTCTTTATTCCAGAGTGTTACATTTCTAAGATTACAAAATGTATGTGAGATATGTCAACGAATTATCAAGTTGGTCTCAGAAATGTGGACGGCTGAATGAAAAGCACTGGGCAAATGCAGAACCTAACTGATCCTCGATGTACTCCCTCCTTGGCAGATTAGTGAATACGAACTTTTAAAGAAAGTCAGATGTAGACGAGACATCTCTCAATAGCAATCTGGGGTTTACCTATAAGTAAGTATTGACTTTAAAACTAAAGCATTTGGGAAAAACGTTTTATGCAGTAATGAAACACTCCAAGGAATATACACATACTAGCCTATTATAAACATGTTAGAAGTATTGCTTACATCCAACCATTCTGGCAACATGTGATGTATCCGGTTTTCTTATCAACTCATAGCTATCTTTTATAGTTCGACCAATCCAATATTCTTTTGTCTTATCTACAAAATAAAATATATGGAAATAGACTTTCAAGGCATTTTTCATGATTATTTTCAATCATCTCTTGTTTATTTTGTTTAAAGAGGAATAAAAGAAATTGTGAATACACTTTGAAATTTCTACTTCTGACATCCACATGAGGTGATATATTCATCGTTCTTCTCACTTAGAAGTGTTGGTGAACCACAGTTTCACATTATTTTACAGCGTTATTATGATTCTTGCTTGAGTACCATCTACGGTATACGCAATCAAGCAGTTACTTTTTTAGAAGACACAATCACGAATAACAAAGTGGACTCAGAAATTTGGTTTGTTGCAATAAATCTTGATAAACCTGGTTGGGCTCATCTAAACTTACAAAACATGTCATTAATCATCCAACTTGAGCGTCGCGTCTGTCATTTTCGGATATCAACAACTGATTGAATAGTCATGTTGCATTACAGACACAAATTCAAAATTTACACTGCCAACTAAATGGATGAGATTATTCTTGTTTGGAACTAGTCACAGGAACCAACTTAAATTGTTACCACAGATCAGAACACATCGGTATGAAATAAATACTGATCCATACTTACATTTGGCTTGGATGTGTATACACATATGACTGTCTAATCAGATAAATAACCCACTATAAAGGATCATGCATAGAATGCCATAACCATATATGAATGAATCGTAAACATTATTAGCAATAGTTGATTAAGAGAGGATGTGTTTGTTTAAAATTACACTTTTCATTACTACTCCAGATCACCAAACACAGATTTTATGACCAATAAGATGAAGTAGTTATTTATTGAGTGACAACTAGTTTATTTACAGTATTTTTATCACAAAGCTATCGATGATAATTCACGATTACTTATCTCAGTTGACGTTTTCATTAAAATATATCTGGAGTCCAAAGTCCCCTGACGCTTTCTGTGGGGATTTAAACTGCATTATCCATCAGGAAAATCAACTGAATATAGAATGACAATAGTTCATCCAAGCAGTTGAGCTATAAAGTAGAACAAACGCAGTCTGAAGGGTTTCTCAGTAATATAGAATAATTCATTCAACTTAAACTGAAGACGGAAATTTCAACTGATCAACCATAGATGCTTACTATTCATTCAAAACCATATTTCTTACCAGCTGTCTCATGAAGCAAACTCATATTGTGAATCCATTTCTGAACAAGAGCGTAACTTCCACCAGTTGGTTTGTTGATCGCTACCTCAGCTCGTTCGTCCAAACACTTGGGGTTCGCTGTACCTTATTACAAAATAGGATACACATTAAAATGTCACGCCTATATTGTTTCAAAACTAGTTTTCATTATATGTATCATGTGAGACGTTGACCTCAAAATGTTCACTAGTAATGTATCTTGATCACATAAGTGGTCATCGTAGTCTAATCTTTTTCAACATATGAGTAGATGAAAGCTAGTTAGCAAATATCCCACTAACTTAATGACACTTTACATAAACCTAGCACCAATCATTCATAATCAAACACAATACTCATGCAAACCGAAACTTGTTCCTTATTAGTTTTGACAATGAATATTTTTCATGGCACATCATGGAAATAACGAAACAATTGATAAGAACTTGATAGGTATATTACTCATTCTTTATAGAATATGCATTGATTTTACACCAAACAACCAATCTAAACAAAATAGGCAACTTTGATGTTTTCAACCGCGGCAAACTCAAGAAAACATCTAGTCTCATTACAAAGGAAGATGACATCGACTGATTCTCGAGGTATTTCCAATCAAATATGTTTTTATTTGTGAAAAAGATACTAGAAACCACTAAGTAGGTTTGGCAGATTTATGGCTTTCGAACAAAACTCACTTTCAAAAGAGAGATTATTCTTGAATGCTCTTAATGATCCAAAAATTAGACTAAATAGTTAAAAACTCCGCAACTTGCAACACATTTTCGATGGAAATAGTCGACTAAACTACTTTTATAGGCAAAGGATTCTTTACGTCTATACAGGTCGCACATCTTTCTACATACAATTATAACATAATTCAATGACTAACATAGAAGTACGATAAACTTAATTGCATACCATCAACGAATCCACTCAAATCACGCTCATCGTGATACATCCAACCGTAAATATCTTCAAATTTATCCACACATCCAGGCGGCATATTCTGAATGATGGATTTTGCCAAATCAAACAACATGCCATGATCATTACACTTTGCATGGACAAATATATCACCACCTACAACAATAATAAAAAAGTTGTTCCTAAGTGAAAGTTAGAAGTATATGGTTAATGAATAGTATGTTTCGAAACATCAAGCTACTTAGATCACATGTGATTACACTATAATGCACCAAAAGCATCCTAAACCCAATAAAAATTGTTCTGAAAGTCATATAAAATGCCCAAAAAACCTTAGAGAGTTGAATTAAAGACTATTTTACCCATTTGAATCGTGACAGTGAATCCGGAAAACGAACAAATAAGTAGAACCGAACTTACCTGTTTTGGGAAGTTTACCAAACTTTCCAGATCTTTCTCGATATTCGTAGTTTTTGATACCCCTGAGTCGAAAACCAGGACTGATTTTTCTGAAATAGTCGATTCCGAAACCGACACCGTATAGAATCTCGTTGTATCTCCCACACATGTGACGTGAACAAATCTGACTAACATACTTCTACAATGAATGAACAAAGCATGCACAGCGTGTCGAGTAAGTACCGTATTGAATCACAAATGACCACAAAGCTTGAAATATATACAGTACAATTTCAGTATCCAAACAGTTAATGTGTACAGATCTCTCTATACATGCAAAATACTTATTTTTAAGACAGCTTTAGAATAAGCTCAAAACAATAAAGCCAGTCATTCTCAATTACCATCCATTAAAGCCTGACTCAATGATATTCGTATTATGTTCAAAAGGATGAATGTTTTTATTAAGTTACATCATTAGCTTCAACGTTGATAATTTAAGTTTTAGAGGGAAATGCGTTTAGTACAATATAAAAGCAATGTAATAACAGTACAGTTTCGAACGGGAACACTAATAAGAATAACAAACAATCCCAATCTATTTTATGCAGATTTTACATTGTTTGATTTCATATTCTTTAAAACATCAGCGAAATAGCACTAGTTCGTTATGCATTTATGATTGATTCCAAGTCATTTCGAATACGAAATGATGGATGTACGTTCTTCCAGGTTGAAACACGGATATGATCATCACAATTTCCTTCATTATATTTCATAATACATGAACCTTGTTTGTTAACTGATCTCTACGTTACACGTTTGTCAAATTATACGAGACTTTAACTCCATTCTCACACTACTGATTGCATTTTCTCATGATGCACTTACGCCTAAAGTGAAGAACGAATCGGCAACAGAAGCCTGACGAAATATCCTTACGCAGAACATAGTTGAAAACCAACTCAAATAATTTTTATCTACATAAAGAAACACACTTGCCTGTACACAAAAACAGCATAAAATTAAAAAGAATCAAAATTATCTAAAATACCTCGATTCTTTTAATGGATCTCAAACATTCTCGCGATGCTTTGGAATTTAAGTGGATTGTCAGATACAAAGCATGAGATTTAATATCACTAAGAACCTGATCAAAATACAATATTTATGAAACGAGTAAAATTACTGATTGTTGAGGAACAATATGAAGGAAATCTGCAGTCGCGAATTTCGAGTTTCTGTTTGGAGAAATAAAATTGAAATTGCAACTGAATAGTAAACACAAGAAGCACGCAAAGTTCCAAATGTGAATATTCATATGTCCTTAGCACTTGCAGAAGACCTACAATAGAACATCATATCTCTTTTCCAAAACAACATACCCCAAGTGAAAACAGCTATAAACTGCATGACCCTGACTTTCGAATTAGTTCAAATACTTTTAATCGACCTTCAACATTTTAAACTTTAATCCAATATACAATGTCCTAATAATCAGATAGCATGAGTCAAATGAGTTGGTTGATTTCAGTCCCATATGTCATGACACATTATCTTGTTTTTGATAATCATCTTTCAGAATATCATTGCCATTCAACTTTAAAAGTCTTTGTAAATTTGACAGTTATTTGTGACAACGAAATTTAATGATTTTAATACTTAACGAATATCCTGCAACATTTTAAGTAAGCATTACTGTCACGTAATTGTATTGAACCGGGATGGCCCTTTATATAACTCTCCGTTTCTCAGTCACTGACTCGGCTTTATTGGCCTCTGAAATCCACCGTGAAGCATAACCATGTCTCTGTATTACTGGACTCCTGTTTTTTCTCAACTAAAAGCGCTATTGAACCCACCTGTTCGTTCACGCCATCGGCGCTAAGCTGCCAGAAGAATATTGTTAGGTGGACTTTTTTTGTGATGCTTGCGGAAAAGAACTTTCTACAAATCAACATTTTTTTCCGATAAAATATTTATCAGTTTTCCGTCTTTTAGCACAAATATATATAAATTTGGAACAAATCATTTTGCTTATTGAGAGTTTGTGCAAGTGTTTATGTCCGAAGACACACGGCTTTCTAATATCAGTAGCCTTCACACGATAAAAAAGATTTTTGAGATCCAAGGGAGCGGATTTAAAGTGTAATGAACAAGAACTCTGGTGGGGAAACCCAACTTATTTATAATAAGATGTTCCAGAATATATGTCACCTACGAGAACCATACATAAATTTCATAATTTGTAGATCGTCCCTGAGTTGCCCTTCACATTCTGTATGATTCTTCCGATTCATAATTCCACTCTGTTCTCTTCGATTCGATCTTCCTAACGTTCCGAAATCAGGCGTTCAGCTTTTGATTTGTGTCGAATGGCATAAGTCGAAAGGACCAAGAAGGTAGTGGTTAGCGAAAGTGAATAAATTAAATACTGAAAGTGTACGAATACATAGAGGTGCGAAAAATCAGTCAAATTTAGATGGCACGGAGGTAAGTAGGTGGAAACATCATGTATATAATGATAGGGAGAACTCTAGTTATTATAATGATAGGTAAGCTATGAACAGTCAACTCTCACGTTTTCCCAGATGGTTTTGGGAAGGCAGTGTTTCATGATGCCAGATCATTGACACAGATAGATTTAAGGTACGGCGAAATCGAGAATCTTTGTCAAGATGATATTTGGCCGGCATATCATCTTAATAACAAACCACAAGCCATTATTTGGTGTACTTGGGCCGAAGAATAGAATTCTAGTGCACACGGCTAATCGCCTACAACGATTGGCAACAACACTTCTGGTATATGATCACACGATCAAGCATTGGTCTAGTACACAGTTTTGGCAAGCTGATGAGTAAAGAAGAATAATAGGTTCCCACATAATGGCTTTGATTCACCAATAATACAGCCCGATAATCGTTATAACATAAATCTCTAAACTTGTCTCAGATAGGCCAATGAGTATGGGCGAGCAATTACATTACAAATTTATAACAAGGTCGTGTAGCGGCGCAGCAAAGCAGAGCGAAAGCTAATGACAGAATTTGAGTACATATATACATGGCGGTGATATTTAAGCGATCAATAGTTTACCTGTCAGTGACCTGGTAACCATGACGGTTCAAAGAAGTATGCCAATCGGCACCATTATACATTTCAGCTAGTAAGCTATGTCTGCAGGCTTTCATGACACTTACAGTACACATTTATCAAGAATCGTTGCTTAGACTTCATAAGACACAAGACCAGCAGGACTGACAAGTCTCTCAGGATAAGTGTTGTGGTTGATAGGTTGTACTACTTTTTTCACTATCTTCAATTCGGTCGACGACGCAAGTCAAATCTGGAGAAACAATTTGGATTTGGAGGGCTGGAATGGGATCTCAATGATGCTTGTTTCGTTGTTAAGGATGGTCGGAAGACCCAGCACTTTGTTAGCGTCTCGACCAAATAGAACTGAGTATTCTAGGTCTGAGTATTCTAGGTTGGCAAGTGAATCTCTTGATAGATCAACCTCCTTAAGCGGATATCCCTGACGTGTTCAAAGATATTTGGTCATTAGGTCGATACTACAGGGTTACCCTGTCTTAGCCTTCCTATTTCTAGTAAGATGCAGACAAACGCGTGCACCGACTGGTGAATGATCCGAGTTTAAACATATACTCTAGAGTCAGCAACTGTCTTCAATCGGGGCTCTCCAATGGTGGCTAATGACAACATGATCTAGTTGAGTGCATCGACGGGTCGATTGTGTGAGTTGTCAATAAAAACAGTGCTTTATCTTGTGCTTAAAGTTGTGGCTTGTTAGAAATGGACGATCATATGTGTATAGTTTCAGTAGACGATCATCATTTTCTGTTTTTGAGATAATGATGGAGATTTGTAGCTCAGATGGATGATTTTGATGGAGTTTTTGTCTCTTTGCCGTATGGTATGATCGTGGAGCTTTCATCGATCTTCTGAATGACATCATCAGCACAAACGTCGAGTAGAATTGTTTGCTCAACGCAATACAATAATATCCACAAAAGTCTCTTTAGGTTTGGTGTGGTTTAACTGTATGTGGATCAATATCATCTATTACTATAACCACGTCTTTGCATCCAACTTTTCAAACGAGGTATGGAAATCCAACTGACGAGTCCCAAATACGACGAAACGCACGTTCTGGATTCCACTGCTAGCCACTATCCATTTCTTCTTACAATGCTTGTGAATTAAGGCTAAATCGAGGCAGTATCCACATATGCCGAATAGAGACTGACCAGTTGCAGTACCAAACATCAATGAGAAGATTCAACCAAACAATACTTAGTGAAGACGGAATTATTGTTTGATATAATTTGTCTTAATTTAGCATCAGATTTGTGTGAATAAGCCTGTTCATACATGAACGGTTGAGCGTGAATCATGCGATGTATCCTCATTGTTTGTAGTAACATCCTTGGATTAAATTATCTACGTTGTTTAACTAATTGATGTGTTCCTGATTAGATTGTCAGCTTGAAGGCGCCTGAATTTCCCACCATTATCATCAATCCGTACAATACTTGATCATTTGTTCGATATGATTATTATTTGATTTGAATGATGATGTGGAGTGTAATTAGTTAGCGATATCATCTAGTTTTGATCGGAAACCTTAACGCTTATCTTCAGTCAGGGGTTTCAGATTGCATGTAATGGGGCATTTACTTTCTAATGGAACTTCCAAATTGACTCTCCTTTTTGACTGGAGTGATTGAAAGCCAATGTATATAACCTAAAACTCAATTTTGATCCATCATACATTTGACCAGTTGAATTCCAGTTTCTCTGTGTCATCTGGAGATGCCCATATGATTGCCTGTTATACCAAAGCTTTCGGAAACAATTCAGATGTTGCTATAAATATTTGTTATTTTGCACATCTTGAACAAAACTCTGAAATTTGGTACGAAACACAATACTGATTTCCATTACTAGAATCCACAGTAGTGCCTGATAACAATTGAATTGAGAACATTCGGGATTCAAAGTGAGCTCTTGTATTAGTCTTTGCTTCAACTCAATGCTTCAGTGGATAGGTCGTAAGATATTTGAAGTAAAGTATTTTCTCCTTGGATGTCGGTGTGAATATCAGCATGGATTAAAGTAATATCATGTGACTGATTTCAAAACGTGTATAATGGATTCCACTGCTAATCACATTCATTGTATTCAATATTATTCAAGTGTCGCTTTTCGTATTACGTGGAGATCTGAATAACTAAAAGTGCATATCGGTTTAGTGCACAATGTTTGCAACAAAATATGGTCTCCTGCACAGATTATCCTTTTCTCTATTAGGGTTATGCTAGTCACACATGAAGACGTGTAAAGATTATCGCATTAGATTAAAGATTATAATGATAGAGGCCAACTACAGTAAGCCAATTGAAAACATTTCTAGAATGCCAAATGTCAAGGCGGAAGAGGGAGACCAAAGAACACATTATTCGAAGATATGCGGAAAATGAAAAACAACTGAACAGTACTAGTAAGGATGGCTCAGGACAGAGTAGATTGGTGAATGGTTGGGGGAAAGCATGCGTCAGTAAGTAAGTAACATGTAAAAAGTGTGTATCATTTGTCAATTAAAACTGAAGGAAAACCGACATTATCATTACTGAAAAAATGATCACATAATGATGTCCGTGACGTTGTCTAATTTTTGAATACAACGAAAATGGCGCAATAATAGAATTATGAAATTCATCATCCTATCTCAAGATATGCTTCATCGACCACAAAACATCGCGTATCTATCACGTATATCGCAGTTAGAAATGAAAAGTCCTTGCCATGTTCGAGATATAAAACACAGTGATGATGAAGTTGAATGTAAGTTGTTTTTTACAATTGAGTAGCGCAGTGCAGACAAACTTACCTTACTATTTGAAAATCATCAGATCAGGATAACGTGATCAAAACATAAGTCATTTGAGTTCATTCAGTTTAACGTGGTTGAAGAGTGAGAGAGACTTGATTCGTTATTATTCTTTATGCTCAAAAGGAGTGGGTTACATTTGATATAAAAATAATGGTTTCAAATCAAATAGATTTGTCGTTCGAAGATGTTAAGTTATTCTAAAGACTTTGGAAATATCCATATAATGTTCACTATTCAATGGGTGACTAAAAGACGCACTCATGAAAATCCTACTCTTAAACCTGGGTATTTTCTGTGACATCAAATGATGATCAAACAATATCATGAACTGAGTGAAATCAAATGTCTAAACAACTGAATCTTATCTTATTTGCTCAATTACACATGAGAACATTAGTGTACAG